ATGGAATGTGCTGAATGTCTATAATTTTGTTCAGATGACTGCAGAACCTGGAAAAGCTGTTGCTGCTATTGATGCATAACATACTGCTATTATTGGTCTTTTTATATAAATATAAATATATATATACACATATATGTATAATTTGAATTTTGGGAAACTTTAATGGTGCTGTCAACTTTGGAAAAAGTTATCCCAATTTACTGGGTTGAGTTGGCATTGTACAGAAATGGACAGCCATATTGGTCTAGAAATGTTAATTTTTTTTTCCATGTGTACAGGGGTAACACACTGTATTAAATATGTAAGGTCATATCTATGTGGGTTTGATTACAGAAACTAATAAAGTATTCTCTAAATAATGAAAAAAAAGAATAAAATAAGACTACAAGAGCAAGAAGCAATTTAAATATGTTAAGGGACCATTTTCATCTTCAGAATTAAGGATTATTTTAATCTTACATCATTGCCTTTTCTCTTTTACTTTCCTTTTTAGTTTTATTTTAGGATTCCCTATTTTTAATGTTCATACAGAGATTTCTTTAACTGAAATACCAAATAGTTTCTCTGGTGTGAAAAACTATCATAGTACATAGGATCCTAATGAGATAATTAATAATGTGAAATAGGAAGTAAAGGGCTAAAGGTGTAGGGAAAGTGGGAAGGGTGGGGGAAAGGTAATAAGGGAGAGGAAAAAAAATGAGAAATTGAAAAAATGGAAATAAAGTGTTTGTAAATGGGAAGGGGAGGAGGGGGTGAAGGGAGGGCAGGGACAAGGGGAAAAAATGAGCACCAAGACCTATTATGTAAAGGTACAGGATCCCAATAATGAATGTACCTATATTGTATACCTAGATTGTACCAATAAACTCAATAAAAAGAAAAAAAAAAAAAGCAATGATAAATGTGTGAGGTGACAGGCCAGGATCCCAATAATGAATGTAACTATATTGTATACCTAGATTGTACCAATAAACTCAATAAAAAGAAAAAAAAAAAGCAATGATAAATGTGTGAGGTGACGGGCATGCCAGTTACCTGATATCATTACAAATTGTATACAAGTATTGAATTGTCACACTGTACCCCATGAATATGTATAATTTTCCTGTATCGATAAAATGTATTTGTAAAAGATTGAATAAATATATAATCTAGATGTCATTTACTTAAAATAAAAAGTGATTTGATAAAAAGATTAAAAGCTTAGAGAAACTAACAGAAAAGCAGCAAAGAAAAATAATGATCTGCATGTAGACCCAGAATGAACCCGAAAAAAATAACAACATAGGCATCAGCTAAGAGGACAGTTGAAAGTAATCTGAGAAATCACTGACACCAACTCCCCTACTCTGTAGCTAAAGCTCAAGTGTTAGCTCAGAAAGGTCTCACACGAAGTCTTAATTAAGTCTTAATCAAGCCAAGAATCAAAGCTACGTGTTCGTGTTGCCAGCTAAAGTTTGTTATATAATGAATGCTGCTTCTCCAGGTCCAGAAGGGAAAAAGACCTGCATGCCAAACTCTTCATGGAACTCAACCCGCCTGGCACAGATCACAGCCTTCTTGAGGACAATGCAGGGATATGTGACACAGACTCAGCCTAGTCTTCCATACTGTCCAGGAGACTGAGAATTCTATCCCAACCAAGAAGATGCATATGAAGCTCCAAGACCAATGTCTCAGGAAAACAGTAAGATAGGGCATTACCCCTACACATTTCTCTCAGACTCCTAGCAACTCATCCCCCCAACCTTATGAGTAAATTAAACTTTAACACTGATACCATGGGTCAAGGTCTGAAATGTCTACAGACAAAGAAGTTAAACATTCATTTTTTTTCAAACGATCCCTAAGGTGCTAGCTGTAAAAAAACAAATTAAAACAGACACACCCCAAAGTACTCCACCTTACATATAGGGGGAAAAGAAACAAACAAACAAGGAGTTCCTACCTTACTCTTAACAGAGAGAGCTGGACTTTGAAACTTCCCGTTCATCACTGTTTATTGGACCGAAGCAGTCTGTGAACTATCACACAGAGTAACAGAGCCTTTCTCCTCAGCACAGCTTGATATTTCTAAGAAAACCCAAATAATTTCAAATTCAACTCTTACCTCCAATTCCATTACTGTAAGATTAGCTCATACCCTTTCAAATTCTAAACAAAACATAGCTGTTTATTAACAGCTATGTTTGTTTCCCGCCTCTCTCATGCCCATTCTTCACTGACGCTGTCGATGTTTTCAATGGATCTCCTCAGGCCTCTCGCTGGCTGAGGGCTCCCAAAGCACAATGCTTTTATGCCATTCCACCTTCACTTTCATTCTCACAGATTCTCTCCCTCACCCCAGAAATACACAAGCTGCCCAGAGAAAGCAACTCTCACAAGGGCTTCATTGGAAACCCACCTCTATGATAACTGACGAACAAAGACAAACTATCTCATCATCAACTTTGGAAGAAACACTCAAGCCGAATAAAGTTTCCCTCACCAAGGTTGTTTTGCCACCACACCACCAACCACAGAATTCTCTCCACGATCCCCACAACATGCTGATTTCATGTGCATACAAGAACAAAACTAAAGCTGAGTAAGGAAGACTGATACCCAAAGAAGCAGAGGATAGACCTCAGAGGATTCCATAAGCAAGCTCTTCAGTGTTTTTAAACTCTAAGAACAAATGTCAGCAAACTCAGTCTGTAATGATTTTAGCTTCGTGGGCCATTCAGTCTCTATCACAACTACTCCTCTCTGCCATGACAGCAAGAAAGAAATTGAAGATTATAACAAGATGGTGTGGCCATGAACCAGGAATTTCATTTCCTACAACAGGCTGGAAGGCTATAGTTTACCAACCCTGTCTGAGACTAAAAGCTAATGTAAAATCTGGATCAGTGGTAGCAAACCTATGACACATGTGTTATTTTTCTTTTAAAACAAAAGATGTTAATGTAGAGTTTGTTTTTTTTTTTTTCCAAACTAGATATTTCAGTATTCAGGTTTAATCACTGTGTTGGCTCTTCGCAATAAATAAGAGGGTTTGGGGCTGCAGTCTGGGTACTTGTCTCTAAAAGACTTGCCATCACTGGTCAAGATAAAACTAATGTATAAAATAAAGGAACTCCAAAGACAAGAGAAAAGCAGTACGTGGCAGCTAGCTGGGCAGGGCCAGAACCGGAAACAAGACTCATGAGGAAAGAAGACTCACCTTGAAGAGCACAGCTGCTGCTGCACACAGAAACGTGAGCAACAGGAGCCCAAATTTTCCTTTGTTGAACTGTTTCAGCAGCAAAAACTTTGCCACATTCACCTTTGATTGGCTGTTGGGAGGATATCTGAGTTTGTTGGCACCTTCTCTCTTCAAATTTTTTAATAAACAGGAACGATGATGAGAAAAAGTATCAAAACTATGTTTTCCATGATATGCGCCCATTCCACTGGAACCTGAAATAAAGGAAACAGATGAAACAAGCTTCAGTGCAGGTGCCACAGGCTACCTCTTCATCTCAATAGAAAACCCATGTACATGCTGCTGCCTGGGTGCAACAATCCACCTTCTCTGCCAGAGTGCCTCTTTTGAGAAAATCCTTTCAACTTTGTCCTATTCACCTGTATGGTCAATATGCCTTTCAACCAGGATACTTTGTAAGAGCAGGGCAAGAATTTGCAGTCCATCAATGGCTGTGGTTCTCCTTTATGCCAGGGACCATGCTAAGGGTTTAAATGAATTAATTCTCAATGATAATTTTCACCACAACCCTACTCTGTTCTGTTATCATCAGCCCAGTTCCCAGAGAGGGAAAGGAGCTTACATTATCTGTTAACTAGCCCAAGGTCATATCTCTGGTAAAAATGAAGCCAGTCCACTGCCTGCCTTGTAAGCCCAAGGACCCGAGTTTGATCCCTGGTACTAAAAACAAAACAAAAAAAACAATGAAGCCAGACTATGAACTCTGTTCAATCTGGCTCTCAAGTTCAAAGTGTACTATTTTTTCCCAGTTTTCCACGCAGGTTTATCCATGGCCCCAACTCATTCACTTCCTTCCTCTATGCCCCTGGACAGTATTAAAGACCAGGATGACAGGGTTGTGCAGCTGCATGACAATAAGCAAGTGAAAAGAAGCCACATTGTGTGACAATTTTCATTTCTTTAACTCACTATCTGCACGACAGACTGACAGCTGCAAAAGGAGAAAAGGGGGCAGTGTGCTGGGCAGGTGAAGAGCGCAAGAGTGCATGGTGGTGTAAGGCAGGGCAACTAGAAGTAGGGGAGTCTACTGGCACTGGACCCTGGTGAACCAGCAGTGCTTGGGCAGCAGCTGAAGATGTGGGAAGGGACCATTCAGAAAGGAAGAGAAGTGAGAGAAAAGGCCAGAGGCCAGAACTCTAAGAAACTCTAACCTGAGGGAAGGCAGAGAAGGAGGGGCCAGACAAACACACGACTGTGGTAGAAAGGAACTGGGGAAAAATGTTTAAGAGCAGAAATAAGAAATATTGGATGAAAACACTTAAATGGAAATGAAAAGTAAATAATCAATATGAAGAAAACTATAAAATTTTATTGACAGATGTAACAGCTATATAAAGAGATGAAACATGTTCCCCATAAGACCTCACATTTTAATGCTATAAATTCTTCCCAAAATGATTTGTTAAATTCAAACCAAAGGGACTCTTTTGAGTATGAAGTAGTGAGTGATTTTAAAGTTCACCTGAAACAATTAATTACGCAAGAAAACATTGAAAAATAACAATGAGGGACTTAGTTTCAGATATTGAAGCAGACTGGGTATCAGAGACAGGCAGCTTGCTTGGGCTCAGTCTGTAGCTCTACTACTGGTCTCTAAAATGCATGCACTCAACACAGTACTTGGTACACATGCACTTAATAAATGTGAGCTACAGAGCTAACTATAGAGCTACTGTAATTAAAACTGTGGCACTAGACCAGAAAAACAAGCTAGAAAGATACTAAAACCAAAGAGAAAACCTTAAGTATAACCCAAGTATGTATTCTTATTGAGTATAGATGAGTTAACGATTATTATTATTTTTAAATGGTCCCAGGATAGATAATTCTTTGGGGAAAAAAAAATTAAAAGTAGATTTTTTACTCATGAATCACTCCAAAATGAACTCCAAAGTTAAACATGAAAGAAAAAATAGAAAATTTAAAGAAAGTACAGATGAGTACTTATATAATGATGAAGTAGGGAAGACCTTTCTAAGCCAAATTAGAGAGACAGCAAAGGTCTCATGGGTTTGACCATAAAAGTTTCAAAGCACAGTTAAAATGAAAGACAAAATATAACCTGGAAAGAAATATATGCCAAGCGCTGTGCTATGCTCTCAGCAATATGTTTACATCCCAGAAAGGGACTTGTGGCACCCACAGGCAGCAGGCCAAAGATCCTTCGCCATAAAATAAGGTTTACTTAATCAGGAACAAATGGTCCTGCCAAACTGAGCCATTCAACCCATGTAATAATTTATGCTATTACAAGTGGAGAGAATAAAGCAGCGGCTTCCAAGTTGCTTTTAGTTTTCTCACTGGTAAAAGAATTTGTCCACATTGGTCATTTTGTAATATATCAACTTATCTCAACTGGACAGCAGGAAGGCCTATCACTTAGGTCTCAAAGAAGAATAAAAAGGCAAGGCAATCATCTCAGATGGAGAGAAGGAAGCAAGTCACGTCACGAAGGCAATGGCCATGACAAGGTTGTGTTCACCACAATTGACTGACAATGCCTGTCCTCCTGCTCATCCTCTTGCTGTCCTCAAACCCAGGAATATGCAAGGGATGGCTGCCCCTCCCTAAAGGCTAAGGAAGCAGTACAGGTAGCAACTGATCACCACTGAAAGTTACCTTGAGAAGAAAACAAAAGGACATCAGAAAAGCCTCTGACTGCTCTTTCCCTGTCTTGGAATATTTTTTTCACTATCTCCTTTAAAGACAGAGAAAGAGGGAAAATATCTTATGAATTTGAGATGTAATTCTTGGCCCCCAAATTTCCTATATCTGGGAGGCAATAACCAAGTAGAGCAAAAAGTGAGCAAAGTAACTGCGGCTCTGAACAGGGTTACTGAGATCAGAAAGAGCAACAGGACAGATTCACTGAGATAAACAAGGGTACAGGGCATCAGGAAGCCACTGCCGAGTAGGCAGCAGGGTAGGGCCTCTCAGGAGAGGACAATCAAACTGGCACCTGCAGGAATAAGCAGCAGCCAGCTGTCAATAGCCTGCACAGTGTCTTGAAAAACGCAGTGCTGCTGACAGATTATCATGAGGAAGAGAAGGTAATACTTACCCACTCCTCCAAAGGGCAGTGAATTGAGTGTAAAATGCATGATGACATCATTGACTGTGACTCCACCACTGGAGGTCTCATCAATCATCCGTTTGATGAGCTAAGGAACAGACCAGAGGAGTCCTGATCAGTGACATCTGCAACTCAGAGCTCACTCACCTGAGGTCTGTGTGCTCTAGGAATGCACAGCCTGGCTCTGTGTGCCAGAGGAAGTTCTCAGGTTTGGGGACACTGTGTCAAACCTTGTTAAACTATGTTAATTACCAGACATGAATGATATTTCACTTCTCAGATGCACAGTTAGTACAGGTTACACATCTCAATCTGAAAACCCCGAAACTGAAATGCTCCAAAATACCAAACTTTTTGAGTTCTGAGATGCTACAAGTAGAAAATTCCACATTTGAAACTTTGCTTCACATACAATGTTACTAAAAATATTGTATAAAATTATCTTTAGGATATATAAAACAAATGAATTCTGTGTTTAGACATGAGTCCCATCCCCAAGTTAATCTCATTATACACAAGCAAGTATTCCAAATCTGACCTCCAAGGCACTGCTGGGCCGCAGTACTTCAACCTGTACATCAAAGGATTTAGCCCTAAACTTTCAGGTCTTTCACACGAACACCACCTAGAGTGTACTGACCCCCAAAACAGAAGCAAGGGCCTTTTTATAAGCGAAGGTTCACACTACAATATATTCCAGTCTTTAAAGTATTATTTCTCAATCTCTGCTCTAAATTATAGTATACTATAGGTATTAGTCTTTAGAAAATGCAAAGGACTTAGGGTATTAAATTTAACATCCTATTTTTTGAAGAAAAAAGTTGCTGATTAACCTAAAACCCAAAAAGGCACAATGACATCAGACTAGTAAGTTACTTAACCTAGGTGCCAAAGAGCTTGACAGATCTTCATGGAGAGGGTCAATTCTGTACTGCAGTGATCTCAGGTGATCCAGGGCCAGGATGTACCCATTTACAACCACTCAGATGCCAGTGCCAGAGGTCCTTGTCATACTCAGCCCCATGTGAGTGGCTGTGAATGCCATTTTGTTTTCAGGGTTAGGTAAATATTTGGATTTATGTCACAACTGAATGCTGGTATACATAAGTCTTAATTATACAGGAGCTGTTTAGGTCAAACGCTTTGTGACACTCACCCTAGTGGACTCAGATCTACTCCCAGGGAGTAGGGAAAAGGGTATAATGATAACCTGGGGACCTCATTACCCAAGACAATAAATTATGAGTACAAACTCATTAGGTGGACTTTGATATACATATAAGCCATCATTTACTTTTCAGCAAAGAAGAAATATGGCATGATGGTCACTCACAATAGTGACAAGTTCTCTATAAAGGTTACCTTATTGTTATGAGAAAATATATAGAGAGCCAGAGGCTTTTCCCGTTCATTTATGAAGTTTATGGCTTCATCTGCATTTTTCACAGACACTATTGGAAGAACTGGTCCAAAAATTTCTTCTTGCATCACCTTAGATTTAGGATCAACATCAGTAAGTATTGTTGGGGCTGAAAAGAAAACAGAATGAAATGGAAACACTAAAGTAGAAAATAAAAATGCAAAACTCTCATCTTACATATACGTTTCACTGGGTCACCGATCACTCCCTTCCTCACCCAAGTTATATCTATTAAAAAAAAAAGTCCTCTTAGCAGGTGCTAGTCCTGGGTTCAATTTCCAACCAGAAAAAGGTCCTGAGTAGTGACTAAATGGTGCAAATAAGTCTCTGCAAAGCAAGTGAATTAGAGGATCCTTGTGCAAATCAAAAGAAATGTATGTACTCAGATATATCTTTTCTTGATCACAGGTAACCCTGTTCATAGCCATAGGTATATTTAACCAGATGTTATATTTACATCTTACCAAGTCTTTCTGGAAGCACAGACAGTCTGAATCAAATCAACACTGATTCTTAAACTCAAGCTCTTTCTGTACACTGTCTCACTTATCTTTAGTGTAACTGTTAAACAGATTAAGAAAACATGCTCAAGTGGGCAAAATTTCCTCCTCCTCAAGAGTTCGGTGTTCTGTCTAAAAGGGGAAAGCGACAAAGGAAGAGTAAAAGGGACACTGAAGAAGCTCCACAGACAGGTCCCAGTGTCCATGCCAACATAGGTCATCAATTGGCAGAACCCTGTAAACACAGTGGATCAACTAAAAGGCATCTGGCAATAACAGGTTGACTCTTCTTTCTTGCTCTAGTTTCTACCAGGTTATTTGGACAACACGGCTAAGGCTAGCTCTCTGCAGCACATTCTGTGGGTACATAAACCACTCTCCAAACCCACTGCCCACGTTAGATCACAGAACCAATTTGGTTCGTACATCAAACTCCTGCGCATAGCCATATGCTCAAGTGACATGTGCTAGCTCCAGCTCAGGGGAGTCCTAATTAGACCAAGCTCATCATAACAGACCCTGCCTCTTGGCACTGATTAGCCTAGAAGGAGACAAAGCTGCCAGGCCAGAGATGGAAGAACAGAAAGATGAAAGAATCGGTATATGGGGGTTTTTGTTTTTATATTTGATAGCATGACTGAACCACTGAATTACCCAGCCCAGGAGAGCTCAAGATTGTGTATTATAAAAGAGAATAAACTTCTCATTATTGAAATCCTTTACATTTTTTATTTTTGTTGTTTTATTTTCTGAACTAGGTTCTTATTCCAGGCTGGCCTTGAACTCACTATGTAACACACGCAGCAATCCTCTTGCTTCAGCCTTCTCAGTGCTGAGATCACAGGCCTGCGCCACCACTCTTTAGCTCCCTTTGTTTTTCTAAAGTTGGGGATTGGCTGACTCATGGTATTCTGATAAGGGAATACATAGAGCAATTTGGGACAGCTTCTTTGCTTCCCAAATGTCTTCATCTCTTCAATCACTTTATTACATTATTTTAGAAAAGTGTATTTAATATTCAAAGCAATATATATTCGTGGCAAAAAGTCAAAAAATACAAAGAAGGTAAGCAAATAATAAAGCCACGCACAATAGATCAAAACATCTCCCAAGTGGTCCTGTCATTGTGGAATTGGGGTGAAGCCATTTCTTTCTTTATGCTACTTTCCTATTCATGCACCAGAAGTAATTATATAAAGTTCTATTCTGCTTCTCAGATGAGTAGAACTCAGATGTTAGGAGGAAAAAAATGACATTATGCATAAATATAAAAAACTACTACAATATAAGTGGTATTGTTAAACATGCATCCATATATGCACTTATTAGTTTTTAAGTAGTATACCAGAAAAAATATTTAGTAGTTTAATAATAAGACACTATATAAATAATAGTTTACTTAGGATCAAGAAGTGGAGTCAGTAAAACTGCCACACTGCCATCTTCCCACAGAAAATGGTGAGTGTCCGTTACCTATGTAGCGTGTGGCCTCATCAGTATCCCCACCAAAAGCTATCTTTTGTCCGTCAAGCAAACTTTGCAACCTCTTAAAATGACGAAGATTGATGATCCTTTCATAATCAGGAGATTCTTTTACATTTTCTCCATAAAATTCCTATTGAAAACAATACAAGTTATTTGTCACAAAGACCCATACTTCAGTTTAAGTTCAACATTCATCCATGCCCTAAAATCAAACTGTTTTTATATCCACACAGAATCCAACACTACTCTCCCCCCAGTATTTAGCAGTAAGGGAGCAGCAAGCTTAAACTTTTTGACAAGTGAAATACAAGAAAATAAATCACCCTCCCCCAAAAGATCTATGGCTTCTTATAGTTCCATGAGGCTCTGTGGGTCTCTTGCAGTCTACCCAGTCTTCCTGAGTGTGAGTGCGGCAGTGGGTAGCAGTGAGAAAGCCTGGCTCTGCATCTGGGTCACCACTTGCACACACAATGCCTTTGGCTGCTCTTTCCCTGCAACAAGTTACAGTAGGTAGCTGCTAAGAAGACTCTCTAGTCTTAACCTTAAAATATTTACTATCCCACCCTTCACAGAAAGTTTGCCAATCGATTTATTTTGTTGGTTTGTGTCTTCTCTGAACTAGTTTTCCGACTAGTCATGGATGACAGTGAAACCACTCAAAAGATCAGAATACAGCTTTGGTAAACTATTCCAAGAAGCATACAATCAATATTTACTATGTAAAACAAACCCAAAACTCCTGAACTGCTCTATCACTTCAAAGCCTTGTAAGAACTCTGAACTTTATCTCAAAGCAAAATGATCATTATTCACCCACCCTCCACTAAAATCAACTCTCAAGTCTGGGTGACAGAGACCACCCAGGCAGCTTGCTGTTATGTACGTTCATGGGTCCCAGGTTCCCAGCCACCAACAATGGTTTTCAGTATTGACTGCATCACAGAATCACCTAGAGGTCCCAGACCACCCGAATCAGAATCTTTGCAGGATATAGACTACAAACTCATTTTTAGATGGCTCTCTAGTGACTAACATGTAGCTCCACTGAAAACCACTGCTTTGGAGCATAAATGCCTCGAAAGTAGGCAGAGGGGCCCTTCTTCCTTTGGGACTCAGATCATCACCATACTCAAAGAAGCATTTATCTGACTCCCAAGTATTATCAATCTCACACGTATCTTTAATCACTCCCTGTTCTACCCCACATTTCCTAAGTCTGGCCAACTTTCACATACTCCTTGTCTAGGCCCATCATCAGTTGCAACACTGATGTCTTAATTATCACGTCAAGACCTGAGCACTTCACCTTATCTCCCTAAACTTCCTGGTAACCAAGTTTCATTCTCTGACCATACATTACTCTTTGATATTTTCTTTTAGTGCTCTTTTTAGTGATCTTTTCTTTTAGTGTTCAATTATCACTGGTTCAGTGAGCAATGACTGTTCCAATAATTTCTTTCAGCAAGGGGGCTTAGTAACCTCCTCTGACCCCTGAACCTGGTCATCCGTTTCCTTTCTACCAACTTAAATCTTACATTTCCTTCAAGTCTTAGCTTAGGGTACTACTATGTACCCTTCTTTGGTTCCCTCATATAGAGTTTGAAACACTTGAAGAGACTGATAACTATCTAAAGGGTATATCATAAGCAGGTATTTCATTAACTCACTCCTTTACAGTACTGGCCATCACTGACCTTTAACATACTTAAGAACTAATAACTTTAAAGACCAATATGCCAAAAATGTCTCTGATTATATTTCAAGGAACAGGAAGTATTCTTTAAAATCCACAGACACAGCTATTTAACTTTTCTTAAAGTATATGCCACAAATAACCATCAACAAACAATTAGTTTAGGTGGATTTATATCAACCTACCCTTGCTCCCATTCTGTAAAAGATGCACAGAGCATTTCCAATTAGCCAGTAAGTTAATTCAGTCACATAAACTACTGGGATTTTCCTACAGGAGGCAGGGATAACACTGCTGCCTACAAACACTTGTCTTATGGAAATCAATAGAATCAGATGGGTTGAAAACAGACCTTCACGGTTTCCTTAATCTTCTGCACAATTTGATTCTGGAGGGAGGCATCACAGAGAACATAGTCAGGAGCGATGCACGTTTGACCACAGTTCATCAACTTTCCCCAGGTTATGCGTCTAAGGGGGAAAAAACCCAAAAGAACTGAATAATTCAGTCAAGTTTCCACTTGTTACGTATTTTTGTGTTGTTTGAATGTTTTCCAGCCAAAGTGGATTCAAATATTTCCCTGGTAATCTTTAACAAAATAAACCCATCTTTAAAACAGTTGGTTAGAATTTAGATTGTATTTTCCAGTGAAAGTAAAATATTCTAAGTACTACAGGAGGAAAGTTCTCAGCTTGGGGAAAACAGGACTTGATAATCATCAGTGAAGGAACTCCCTGCTTCAGGAAAGTGAATCTTTCCAGCACCCTTTCCCTCCCTTCCCCAGCTAAACAGCTGTCTTGAATCAAAAGAGTTCAGTTCAGACTCTGCTTCCTCTAGTTGTGGCTTTAGGATCTGGGGGAGAGATGTCCAAGCTTCAGCCAGCCCCTGCAACCCTTCCCCCTACATGGAGTCTTCTCCCACTTTGAAAACCCTTCCTACATATGGACACAACCCACAACCACAAAGTTTACTGGAAGTCTCTTGTTCTGGCAATCCTGCTTCTATGAACAAAGCCAACCTGTAACCCTGCCCTAACTCCTCACCTTTCCCTTGGCTCCCCAAATCTGAAGGGGAAAGAAAGCCACACACTCAGAGCACAGTTCTAGGTTTTAGTACTTCCTGACAGCTAAGCCTGGCTTAGCAGTGACAACCTAATTTTATTAGGTACAAGCAACACTTTGGATTATCTGCTTCCTGATCAATGATGAGATCTTTAAAATTTCTTGCCATGTTTATCTATAATCTCAAAAACAGAAAGAATTTCCCCAAAATTCGTAATGACAACTGTATTGATATGAGGACATGTAATTCAACAGCAGCAAAAGAGAGTTTGTGAAAAACATCTGTTACTCTTAAGCATATCACCCATAAAATCTTAATGATATATTCTGGAGCCATAAAGGCATGGGGTTCAAATGGAAAAGCAAACATCTGCCTGTCAGGAAAACCCTCAACTGTGCAAGGAAAACCTCACAAAAGCAGAGCCAATCTTACCTGCAAGCAACATCTAGGTCACAGTCTTTATCAACATAACATGGACTTTTCCCTCCCAATTCAAGTGTCATAGGGGTCAGATGCTTAGCAGCAGCTTCCATAACAATTTTTCCAACCGCAGCATTTCCAGTGTAGAGAATGTAGTCAAATCGATGCTTCAGGAGCTCTGTGGTTTCTTCAACACCACCATTAATAACAGCATACAGGTGCTCAAAGAAAGAGAAACATACATCTGTACTGCCAAATTAACTCTTTTGTGTTCTATCAGTAATTTCTTTAACGTGTAATATTAAGTAAAAATGGGGGATCAAGACCAGTCCTTGTGAGAGATGAAGAGGGAGGTGACAAGGACAAGCAGAGAACCTGCTGGTATCTGGGGACCATCAACTAACCGGAAACTAACTGGAGAGTCTAATCTTTCAGTATGAGCACAAATGAGAGCGAATGGTTGGACGTGACCAGGGAAATGCAGGAGATGGGTGTGGTATGGCATAGTATGGTGTGGTGTGGAAGCTGAGAATGTGGGTGAAGGTAGCTGCTGTCAATGACCACCAGACAGGTCACCGCTAGCTGCACATCTTAATTTGATTTTTTTTTTCTCTATACAACACAAAGCAGTTCTCAGCCCAAAGTAGAAACCAAGTTGCTGTCTGCTGAATATATCCCTACAATGGGCTCTTCCACTAACAAGCATATGTGAATGACCTTAGGCAAGCAATATTTCTGCATCTCAGTTTCTCTTATCTGTTATTGGGAGAATTCACATAGCTTCTACAGACTGAGCTCTTATATGCACTTCAAGACCTATTATTAGCAGCTACTTGAAAGGTGAAAGCACTTTGGACACAGCAGCAGAAAAATAACAAATGAGAACAAATGGCAAGGAAAGCTGGCTTGTGAACACTGTATTTCTATTTGATCTCCTGCTCTTTGAAAGGCTAATTAATTCCTTTTATTTTTTTTTTCCGGTTTTTTGAAACAGGGTCTCACTATGTAGTTCAGGCTGGACTTGAACTCCAGGTGATCCTCCTGCCTCAGCCTCCCAAGTGCTGGGATTACAGGCGTGTGCCACCACACTCAGCATGCAAGGATAATTAGTTCTTCTTAGTTTAACTACCTAACATGCTTCAAATTGTAACTTTTCTATGGCTTAATCTAAAAGCATAAGTGACTGATTTCCCACCAATCTAACTGAAGCATGTAGGGCACTGTTATCCTCCCCATCTGGACAGAGTCAACCATTGAAAAATTTACTCCTGGCTGGGGCAATGCAGGACCATCTTCTGGCTCTAAGTCATTATCTTTTACTTTACTCTTCTAGATAGGATAATCACAGCTATTAAAACAAAACTGTTCTGGGCCGGGGATTTAGCTCAGCAGTTCGTTGGCCTGCCTTGCAAGCGCAAGGACCCAAGTTCAATCCCCAGTACAAAAATAAATAAATAAATAAATAAATAACTGTTCTGGGGCCAGGGATTTAGCTCAGTGGTTCCCCCGCCTGCCTACCAAGTCCAAGGACCTGAGTTAAATCCCTGGTAACAACAAAAACAAAACTGTTCTGTGACTGTGCCATACAGTGTCACCAATAACAGAGAGCAGTATTATTCTAAGAGCCAGAGTTGGCCTCAAGGCCGTTATAAATTAACACACCCAATACAGCTAGAATATAAATTAACTTGCCCATATGCTAGGATAATTTGTCTTTTGTTGAAAACTAAATAAAGATTCCTCCCTGAAGCAACTTTCTATACCAATTAATCATAAACTTCCTCCCTAGAAGGATGAGAGAACCTGATTCAGAGAACTAAACCACCCTGCAGCTAAGGAAATCACTTCTCTTACTTGGCCTCTGATGCTCTATGACAGCACTTTAATCCAGTGTAAAGATCCAGCTGATTCACAAGGCTACTTTATTCCTCTATTTTTCATATTGCAAACATGCACTTTTTTTTTTCTACTGGGGATCAAACTCGGGACCTTGTGCTTATGAGGCAGGTGGCAGAAGCACTGAACTAAATCCCCGGTGCAAACATGCACATTTTAAAAGCTAAAGTTCCCTTATATAATGTTTTGTTTTGTATTGGTACCGGGGATCAAACTCAGGCCCTTGAGCTTGTGAGGCAGGCAGTCGAACCACTGAGCTAAATCCCCAGCCCTTTTATAGAATATTGATAATCTGATAGAACAACAGTGTCAGTGACAAAAATGTGCCAGTACCCAGCACAGTATCAGCCCTTTATTAACTAATTCATTAAATGAATAAATCTAAAATGGTGTGTAAATGTGAATAGGGATTAATCTGAAATGCCAAATGGAAAAAGATCTGAAAATAGTAGAGATACTTATGAAGCCATGGGCCTAAAAATATCAAGTAACAATATATTTATTCCACAACATACATTGGAACGTCTTTTCTTAGCCCAATGTTGGGAGTGCAAGGACACTATAAACAGCTTCTCAATGAGCAATGTCATCCACCAACAAGAAAATCAAATACGTGTTTTCCACAAAAAACAGATGTGTTGAAGATGGGGCAAGATAATCTTACCTGGTCTAAATACTGAGGGAGAAGCTTGGTCAAGATCTTGGCAGTATTTTCACTTAATTCAGAAGGCTTGATAATCGCAGCATTCCCTAAACAAAATGAAAAGCAGAAGAGTGTCATTTAAGAGTTGAGTAACTTTAGTAATTACCAAAAATAATGTTCACGTATAAAGTACAGGCTAGGTACACTACTCCAATGATTTCTGCACCTCTTAATTCTGCTTTTCCTCGTAATGAGCAGCAGCACTATCTCAGTTTTCCTTTTCATTTTCTCCCTCTCATCTGCTAATTCCTCAGTTCTCATCATCTCCAGGTCACTGACAACACGTTCTATAGGCCTTTCCCACTCCTCCAGCTTCTATCACTTTTCTCTCACTTCTGCCCTTGGATTGTCCTCTCTGTCCTCAATTATTAAGTAAGCAGGCTACGTCAATACAAAGCTGTCCATCTGGCTCCTCCACAGAAATTAATCTCTAGTCACCTGCTATACACCTAAGCCGCATTATTCCCACAGCCTTTATGTGAATGAAGATACTGGCCTGGAAGAATCAGATGGTTGGCCCAAAGCCAGAGACAGCAGGTGAAACATATTAGAATATGGATCCCTGACTCCAAATTCTTCTTCTGCCTATAGAGTCGGATGCCCTTCTCCTTCATAGGTTCATTCCCCGAGTACTTCAAAAATTAGTCATACAAATTTCAAGTAAATAAATATATATTTTCTCTCTCTCCACTCTCTCTCGCTCTCTCTCTCTCTCTCTCTCTCTCTCTCTCTGCTGGTGTAAACCAAGGCAAGGCATACCTCCAAAATAAATGTATTTAGTTAGCTGTTATACTTAATTTATAATCAACATGTAAAAAATAAGCTCCTCCATAAAAGTATAAAGACATAGCTGGACCATACCTGCAGCGATGGCTCCCACCAGTGGATGCAGGGTGAGAACAAATGGGTAGTTCCAAGCTCCAATAATCAGGACGACTCCTAAAGGCTCTGGTTGAACATAGGCCTCATCCAGCATGGTGAACAGGTTCTTCTTAACTGGTTTAGGAGTAACCCACTCAGAAAGATTTGCCAGCATAAAATTAATTTCCCCAAGTATGGTAATGACTTCCTGGCTGTACACATTGAATTCATTCTGGTAAAAGAATCACAGTTAACCTTGCAGAATGTGTGTGATATATGTGGTCTCAGGCCAGAAACATATTTATGCCTTACCCAGACTAGCTGATTTGCTATACAGATTGATTCCTTTCATTCCCTCTTAAACTTCCCTTCTAATATATGCAATGTCTCTAAATCCTTTGTACTGATCCAAGCCCTTTAAAACTATGCTTAAACATTGTTTCTTTCAGGAAGAGTTCTCTGCCTTGACCACACTTTACATAACAGATATGCTTCTGACCTGTATCTTATTAATACACTGGTTTATACTATACTTATAGCTCATCTATGATGTTTCTCAACTAAGTTTAAAACTCTCAAGGGAAGAAAACTTGTATTTCTTTAGTAATTATACACACACAAATATTGGATGCTTGTAGAATAAATGATTTACAGGCTTTTGACACTTCATTTGTCTTAATATCATAGTCCCTCTCTGCCAAAGGCACTCTAAAAGAAATTTTATAGTTACTACTGTTACTACTACTGCTGTCACTACTCCTTGAAATAATCTTTGGGGGAAGAATAATCATAAACCCTGAGGAAGGCCTTGTTATGCCTGAAATGCACATAAAAAGATGAAACATTCTAGAAAATACAAAGAATACTGTACATTTATGTCCTAAACACAGTGTGATTCCAAAAGAGACAGCATGGTATCACCTGAAACCTCATTAGAAACTTGGAATCTCTGATCCCACCCAAACTAACTGAACCACAATTTACAACTGCACAAGATCTCCGCGTGACGGTCAGTGTAGCACAGTTTGAGGAACACGGAGTTAACATTGTGCCGAACGAAGTCATTAGGAAAATGTGGGAGTGAAATGATACCCTAAGACACCACTGTCTACAAAGGAACCATAAACGAAGTTAGAAGGCAAGAAACAGACCCAGCAAAAAATATCCGCCATACTCAGGGCTAATAAATTACTGACATCTAGACTACAAGAAGCGTTCCCAGAAATCGTAAGTAAACGGACCATAAATGCAACAACAACAACAAAAAGTGGGCAAGAAGGCCACAAATATAATAATTGAGAATTTAAAGACAATTCGCAGAACTACAGAGGCCAGGAAACGCATGCGCTTCCAATTTGTCTGCAGATACACACACAGGCTGGCTCTCAGCAAGGCTAGAGTACCGGGAAAATCAGCAGGCAATCTGTTTTTCATCTGTACTGCTGGAGTTTAATCATACCCTGACCGTGCTTGCGTACTCAAAAATAGGTAAAAGGCAAATCAGCAAAAGGTCATGCAGAAGGCGGTCTCCAGGCGGGACGGTGCCATGACACCGTCCAGGACCCTCCCCGCAGCCGCGCGTACCTTGCACAGGTCGGCGCCGATGGCCGCCAGGATGTCCTTCTCGTGCTCCTGAACCATCCTCCGCAGGGCTTCGAGCTGCTGCAGCCGGAACTGTAGGGGTCGCGACCGGCCGGACCGGAACGCCTGCCGAAGCCGCTGGACTTCGCGCTCCATGGTTGGTCCAGAGGAGAATGGCGAGGTCCCGGGGCAGTGCAACCCAGATGCTTGGCAGGAGAGAAGAAAACTGGAAGAGGGTGCGTCTGTCTTTCCTCTCGCTCGTCCTCTTCGGGTTGGGGAACCACAGCTGGCCTGGGCTGCTCGCTCCACCTCGGACAAAGTCCCAACGCCCACAGAGAGCCGGCGCAGCTCACCCCAAGCAGCGCGCCCATTGGCCCGGATGTCCCACGTGACCGCGAGGCCCCGCCTAGGGCTCGAGTCCCCACAGCGAGCTGGGATGGGAAACCCAGAGGGGCGGACTCCGGGCGGTTCCTGGCAGGAATTGGCGTTCAGGGATAGGGCTGGAAGGAGGAGGATGGCTTCAGAACAGGGTGGCTCCGAGAGGAAATTAGTAGCGAGATGCGAAGGGAGCCGTGCGTAGGGCGAGCCGCGGCGGAGAGCCAGACGCCTAGCTGGAAGCGCCGGGCAGACTGAACGCCACCCACGCGCCGAGGCTCCCGGGAGAGGGTGTGGGGTGCTCCCTTCCTGCCCCACTCTGTGGTTGTTCAGATGTGGCCGAATAGGCGGGGTTGGGAGGCCGGGCGCCGCCCAGCGTGCGGAGCGTCCTCTGGCCTGGCCTTTCCGGGTTCCTGGAAAAGGGTGCTGAGGGGACAGGACCTACCTTTCCTCGGTCACTTCTCGTAGCCCCGGCTCCTTCCTTTAGGGTTTTAGCCTCGCTGACTTGATGTAGCACGGTTGCATCTTAAAAATTCCCTCTATGGTTAGACTACGGATGGCAGGACACCAGGCCTACGTCTCCTGTAATCCCAGCATCTTGAACACAAGCATTATCATCGCCCAGAAATTGTTTTGTTTTATTTTCCTCAAATTCCCCTTTGTGTGCATATTATCCCACTTCTCTGCTCTTTATGGAACTCCAAAAAGAGAACTCGTACCACTTAAGTGTTCCTGTTCCTCCAATGCCACTCCAGTGAGAAGGCTCAGGTCTCATTTTGCTCACTCAATAGTTGGCACGTCTGTCATTCCCATCTTCTGGAAATTCTTTGCTTTCCTTTTTCCTGTACTCTTCTGTTTTTTCCCTTCAGCCCACCCGAGTCCTCTGGATTTGGCTTTGCTGGATCTTTCTCCCTTCCCTGACCCCTTTAAGTATGCAAATACATTAGGGCTTAGTCCTTGGTTCTTTTCTCTATTCAGTCACTCCCTCTTGGAGAAAGCTCTAGTCCTAACCTTTACTATGAATTCCAAAGTGTGTGTAACTATATCCTATTTATCTCATTTGTATTTGCAGTACACATCTTAGCTTTAGAGCTTTTGATTCTTCACCAGTTCTACACACAATGCATACCTCCTCCACTGTTCCTCACAGTAAATAGGTCAATTCCAAGAAATCACCCTCGCTTCTCTTTGGCCTTAATCTTGATGATACAGATTACTGGGCATGGTAGCATACATCTGTAATCCCAGCTACTCCAGGGGCTGAAGAGGGAATTGCAGGTAGGAGTCCAGCCTCAGCGATTTAGTGAAAAACCTATCTCAAAATTTAAAAGTAAATAAACAATAGATAGGGATGTAGCCCAGTGCACCCTACTTCCAGGCCTCCCAAGGCTGCTGCTTGTTTATTCAGGGACTTGTCCTTTGACCTTTATGTTCTATCTTTAGTTCACTTGGGCCCTGGCCTTTGGAATTTAGTTTTTTTACTTCATTTACTTAGTTTACTGAGGTCCTTGCCCTATCTGCCTGCCTATCTCCTGGCCTCAGTGACTTCCCATAAAGTTCTGCCAGTAGGAGACCCTACCAAAAAATTAAAAGACAAGAGGAAAAGAGTAACTTTCTGCTTCTGGATTCAATAGTGTGACAGTTTTTGGCCATTTCTATAGTGCAAATGGAGGTAGGTTATTCCTAACTATGGGAGTTCCTTCCTTGGTCATTATGGCACTTATTAGATGCAGTATGACAGGGAGAAGATCTTCAAAAGGTCCAGGAGCTGGTGCAGCTCCATATGTTACAGCCAAGAGTAGTTTTTAAACAGCTTATGATCTCCAACATCATTCTTTTATTCCTGTTGACATCTATTGTTTAAATTTTCCCTTGCATGAAATAACTACATTGGTTTCTCTTTCGTGCCTGGGCCCTGACCAAATGCACTGTGCTGTAGCCTATTCATTTTTTATTTTTATTGGTATATGTGTGCAGTACATGATTATATACATCATGGGGCATCGGTACATGCATATAACAAATCTTTATTTCCCCTTCCCTTTCCTTTATCCCTTTCCATCTCTAAATCCCCTTCCTATATGAAAAAGAACTATCCCCCTATTTACTATTATCTTTTATTTTGCTCTTTATGTATTCTTTGGATTTCTCATATAGGACAAAGCATGAAATATGGGAGACCAGCTGGGGAGAATGAGGCCTCATTGGCCTCCCCCGTGAGCACTGAGTGAAATGAGGATATGTAAGTGTGCTAACAATGCTGGGAAAACTAAAGACACCTGAGATTAAGTTGTTTATCCAGAGTAGCACCGTGGAATGTGGGAGACACATGAATCCTGTGGAACCATGATTGCCTGTGCCCATGTCTGAAGAAATCCACGGTGTGCCACTCATTTGGGGCTCTATGTAGAAGGGAGATATGAGCCCTCTGGCCCCCCAGATTTTAACCTGTTTCTGTGTCTGTTTATTTTTTACCTCTGTCACCCCGGGTCAGGTTCGCGCTTGTAAACTGGTTCCTACATTGCAATATTTAATCTTGTGGATCTGATTTATTTCACTTAACATGGTCTCAAGGTGCATCCATTTTTCTACAAATGACTCAAATTTATCCTACTACGTTGTATATAACTGCCACATTTTCTTTCTTTCTCCATCTATTCATGGACATATAGGCTGTTTTCAAGATTTAGCTACTGTGAACTGTGCTGCAATAAACGTGGGTGTGAGTGTATCACTTAATATGATGACTTTAACTCTTTGAGGAAGATACCTAGGAGGGGAAGAGCTCGGTAAAATGGAATTTCTAGTTTTAGTTTTTTCGGGAATCTCCATACTGATTTCTATAGGGATTGCATTGATTTACATTCCCAACAACAAAATGTTTTATTATTTGTTTTTGTTACGGAAGGAATTGGCAAGTGACACACAGAGAGGCAGCAGAATGGAAGTAAAATAACAAAAGTTTGCTCCAAATGGGGACCTAAAATGTTTTATTATTTGTTTTTGTTACGGAAGGAATTGGCAAGTGACACACAGAGAGGCAGCAGAATGGAAGTAAAATAACAAAAGTTTGCTCCATCAATGGGGACCCATAACACCTAATGGCAGTGCCCTGATCCATGACCCACTGGGTTACAACTCCTTTTTATAGGGGTTTATAGCCTTGATCTCATTCAGGTGGTTACATTTCATTTTTACAGTTCACATTGCTGATATTCAAAACATGGTGGTGAGAGACAGTTGAATTTCAACACAGAAGTAGCACTTCTTTGTTACAGGGAGGTTACCTTTAAGATTTATTTAGTTATCTATTCTAGCCAAGGGGAACAGCGGTTATCCAGTCAGCAAAGTTAACAATGGTTCTTTTCATTCACAAAACTTTTGAGGGAGACCAGGTGCCTCCAGTGCTGGTGAATTCTGAACTAAATGGAGCTAAGGGCAGAAGTTATCTTACACGGTGACATTTCCTAGGTTTTGCTATTAAAGTGTTCTTTATCATTTTCTCTTATGATAGCCAATTATGGAATAAGATAGAATCTCAGTGTTATTTTAAATTTTCTAATTGCCACAGATATTGAACATTTTTTTCATGTATCAGTCATTTGTACTTCTGAGAGGTGTCCATTCTGAGAGATCAGTGGCCCAAATTTTTTAAAAACTTTTACTGGTACAATTAATACATAATGATCATATTTATCAAATAGAATTTGTACCTGTGCATGGTATAGATTCCTTTTTCTCCCAGTCCCTTCCCCTCCTTATTTACAAAAGCTTTGTTTCCATTTTTCCTTCTTTGATCATTTTTTCCCTTTCTTTTCCCCCTCTCTCCTTCACAATTTCCCTTTCCTTTTGAACAGCTTCTTCCTATTTCATATTATCTATTATACATTTTGATCCTTATTTGCCCTTTCAGTTTCTCATATGAGAGACAATACGATGTAAGACTTAAAGTTTCACTTCCATTCCACAGAGGATGAACAGCCGAAATGGCCTCCATGATGCTGAGCCCTAACACCCAGCGAGGCTCCAGGAGCTAGACAGAGAAACGAGAAACCCAGGAGGGAACACACCAGGATAGATGTAAATAGACCTTTATTAGTCTGGCCAGATGGTACTCCTGGAGCCAGGTAGCTCAGAGAGGCAACTGCTCAGGGGCTGAGGTACTTTTTATAAGGTTTTTCTAAAGGAAGAGTCAGGGAATTCACAGAGCAAGACTGCAAACACGTTGCTTATCTTATGCAGGAAATGTTCTAAGGTCACCTTTTGTTATGGTCACCTTTTGTTATACCGTTTGCTCCTGGGCGGGCTGTTAGCCAAGTTAGCAATTAGCATATGAAGAAGCACAGTCTGGCCTATTAGCATGGAGTCACTTTAGCTTATTCAAGTCTTACAACGATATTTACAAATATGTATCCAATTTATTTCATTTAAGAGTATAGTCTCTGATAGGGAATTGATCATGTTAAAGTATGCTGTGATGCCACCTCACAGACTGCATTCTCCTGGTACATCTTGGCTCCTAAAATGACCTCATGCCCTTATCTCTGGTTTCCCTCCCCACCAAGGCCACAGTGGTCCAGGAAAGTTGAAACCTGTGTCTGCAGGACTAGGCCCATAAAAGCAATCTGGCCTGTGATAGGTTAAAAGTAGCTCACTCCTCATAAATAAGCAATAGCCCACCAAAAAACTGATAAAAGGACCTTCCTTTCTTTGTTCTCTCTCTCCTTCTGCTTCTTCCTCCTCTCTCTCTCTCTCTCTCTCTCTCTGCCTTCCTGCCTCCTGCTCGCCTCCCTACAATAAAGATCTCCTGCCAGACCTCTCGGTGTGTGAGTGGCCTAATTGGGAAGGGGCACCCGAAAGGGCACGCG